AAAAAAAAAAAAAAAAACCGGATTCATTTTTATTTAATTAGCAGTGCAGGTTACGCAGTAAATTGACGTAGGATGGTAAAGTTAGCTAAGCAAGTAGCGCTACCTGAACACACTTTTTTTTAAATCTTCCTTTGTAAGACAAGAAACTAGAAAAAAAGAAGGAATAAGACGGATCTATTGCTTTTACTTACCTTTAACAAGATGTTCGAAATTTTGAAGCGTGGCTTTTCCTTTTGCTATAGACATTTTCCGCATATCGTTGCTTATTCCTGTTGCCATTGTTGCTGTTGTAGATGGTGGAGCTTGTCGTGCTGCTAACATTATCCATTTGAGAAGGACATAGATATCTGAAAATTGTTCTCACCCTTACTTTACTCATTACTTATAACACACGTACAAATTATAACAATGATTATGTTAATAGTATACATTATTTCACTATCATGGTCTCTTTTTAAATCTTGCAAATTTCTGAAAAGCATTCTTGCCCTCAATTATCCGTCTATTCATCCATCTATCTATTTCATCACTGAATAAATCCCTATATATAAAAACCTGCTCATTTTACATTAATACTCGCTCACAAAAAACTGTCCCGTATGACTGCTATTAATTTATAGAGATTATTTTGTAAATAAATCATTATCAGAGTACTCAGTACTCCAGAGAAAAAAGTGATTCATACTTGAGTACGCTTAAGCTTAATATACTACGCAAGCATCAAAAAAACTATAGCATCTTGTCAATAAGCCTATGATATTATTTGCAGATTGCTGTTATGTGCCTTACATCCAATGAGCATAAATGGACGATTTGAGTATAACTTTTGGTCACGTTAATAAGTGATTAGTTTTATTAAGTCAAGACATGAAAGAATTCATTGATAAATCATAAAACAATATTACTCCACACCTCTGCCTACTTTACCGACATAACCATTAAACAAATTATTCAGAAAGATAGGAAGGCGCTGAATCAGCTTGGCTTCTGATAAAAATACGTAAGTTATGTCAGCAGAAACAATTCCACCAACCCAAACACCTTTAATCCTATGTCAGTTATTACTATAAGTTATTTCTCCCCTACTTTACTACATCTACATAATCCTCATCTCAGTTACAAATAAAAATCTTCAAAGTATTCATCCGTCTACCCTTACAGCATGCTTTACTTTCGTTTGCATATTTCGTCCTTCTCTTGCAGCTCGTTGCCTCATATAATATGTATCATATATGGCATGGATCCCATTGTTATGTATGTCTAATTATCTACTGTCACTCCATGTGCTAATTTTATTCCAGTGGCATATAAACTTTGCAGAAAGACTCGGGTTGTTTATTTTGATTTGCTGAAATTCTATACAACCAGACAAAGTGCATGGTTCACTTTCGGCTTCAATACTTTCTAGTTCCGTTCATGCTTTCACTCATGACAAGAACTGTCTTCCAGTTCAGAAGATCGGAACAGATTGAAATTACGAAAAACACGGCCCGAACTGTGACACTAAATTATCGGAAGTTACAGTCAAGTCCTCCTCCAACAGACCAGAAGTAGTGTCGTGTTCATAAATCAATTACATTTCTGTAATCCTACTCCTTTCATTCTGAACAATACGAGACATAGGTTGTAAGACCAAAATTAGTCTCAAATTAGAGACTGACATTTCGAATACCTTACCTTATAACTGTGATTCTTTACATAATAATATACAACATCCACTTAATCCTTATTGATTTGCCTCAAAAAGTTACAATATAGGTCAAATGATGACTATATTTTATTGAAATACCGATAGCTCCAAGAGCAGATGAATAAACAAGGCTTCTTCTTTTAAATACAACCACAATGAAAAGTTTGATGAAAACATCAACCATAGTCGGAAACGGGAAACCAGAACAAAACAATGATAGCGCATAGTATGCACATTTAGATGTACGATAAGAATGCATAGAATGACCTTCACCCCCGCCTGGATTAATGTAATCATATGTTTAGAAATAACTTTCGTACATTCACAGCTTGAAAACATTACAATTCATAAACACAAGCCAATATCCATTATATTGTTCTTACAACATGCAAACTTAAGGAATCGAAGTAAATAATTTTAACTCACTTTTTATAGATATTAATTTTACCACATTACTAGTCCCATGATTTCAAAAACAAAAAGAAAGACGAAACTTCTCCTCCAAGTATAAATTCTTACAACTTGCTTTGACTGATAAAACCAATACGAAAAACTAGTGATACCTAAGACAATCAAAGCAATACACCATACAATTGAGCTAAGAACTGATAATGGATATCATTTCCCAAAAAATAAAGTAACAAGGTATAAATTATATAATTAATATCTCCTCTTAACCCAACAAGTTTCTTATTTCACGGTGAATGTTACACAAATAGTCAACGTAAGAAGGCATATTTGATGTGCGATCTTCCACCAAAAACTTTTTCATCCATGCTTCTAATGCATTTTGCTGACAAATTATAAAAAGTTTCATGTGCCGTAGTCGATTCCTATTTACGCATTCAATAACATAACGTAGAGCTCGAGACCGCGCATTATCACGCTCCGGAATAATATTCTGCAACCATGAAGTGATAAATGGATAACCCATGTGATGAAAAAATTAAACTAAAAATAATAAAAATAAACTAAAAATGAAAACCCACATTCTCCACATTAAGTTGTGTAACTGAATTCGAATTGAAAACATCTTGCACCCAATCTTGTGGAACTTTCAAACCAATCCATAAAAACATCATGATGCCATTATAGATAATGTATGCTTTATCCGCAGATAGATTTTCGTAAGAAGCGCGTATAGAAGCAGGTAATGTTATCTGAAAACTGCTTGTCCTGTAGCCTTTTATATAAAAAGATGATCTGTGAAAATACGAACGCAAAGTGAAACCTCAGTTGACTGTGGCTCAATAACCAAATCAGAAACCGCAAAAACTGTAGGATACAATAATGTCAAAGCATCTTCTACTTTTAAAGATGGTACTATTTGCATCAAATAAGCTCTATCATCCACTGTTATGTCATTAGCTGAAAATCAACCACAATTTGCAAAGCATACTCTCTTCAGTGGAGAAATAAATTAAGAGGCGCAAGGAAAGCACTTCCAAAAAGAAAAAGATATCGGCCAAAACAAACCACCGCTAATCGCATCATTCTTAATTATGCTATTAACAAATAATGGTAAAAGCTTCAAGCATTCCGGTAAGATAAGTTGACCAAGAGGTGCTTGTTCACTACACTTTTCACGATATGTTGCCAATATTTGCGCACAACGTGTATTTATTATTTCCCGCATTTCTTTTGGAGATTTGTCTCGCAAAAAGAATTCCGCTGCAATTAAGTTCATGAACTTGATCAATTTAATCTACACTCCAAAAAACAAGAAGGATAGTATATTTTTACCTTGTTTAAAAAGGAATGATGTTAAGCAATCTAGATCAGCAACACGATATAGCTGATTGAAATCAGATGAGACAGACAAAGTAAGATTATGGATACGCAATCTCCTTTCTCCGCTGCATGATGTAAATAAGATAGCAGTTTGTAAATAAGCATTTCCTTCCGGCAATTTATCGTCATGTCGGATTTCAACGTGAATCGTCTACAATAATGAATGGTTTTTTTCTCTACATATGCAGAAAAATGAAGCAATTTTGAAAAAATTTACTTTATCACAATCTATGGCACCCATTTCCATGTCCGTACTGTTATCCATGAAGAACGAACCGAAAAATCCAGTCGGACGTAATCCTGAAAAGCCCGAAAATAAATACAATGAGAAAACGAAAATGAGCGTCAAAAACTGAAAACAAAACTGATAAAGGAAGGGAAGTTTTATGCTCATGAAGGTCACTGCCAAGACATACCAGTTGACGTACGTACTCTCATCACGACATCAAAAACAATTTCACGACTTATATCGTGAGAAAGATCAGCCAAGAAACGTTCGCTATCTTTTGCGATCTGAAATTTTATAAGCAAAGAAATAGTAATAACCCAGAATGAGCTCTAATTTCGACGATGTATTGGTGGAGACATACTTCAAAATATTGATATCTGTACAATGAACCACCCGTAATTGTGCAAACAGGTGAAAGCGACGCAATATCGACGAAAGAATTGGGAAATAAAAATAAATCTACGGCACAGCCTCCTTTTACACATTCCTCACCTAACTTACAATAAAAATCGTTGCTTGGTTGCAGAATGGTCTGAAAAATGGGATTTTTAACTTAAAATCGTATTGAAAAATTTAAGATCTCAAAATACACAACTTCACAAACTAGAGACAAAGAAAAAATAATTTTCACTCAAATAGGATTACTTTCTCCTTGTCTGTTCCAAGTAGTTTTCGGTCTTCACGATTTTTCAGTTTCCCAGGAGCGTCCATTAATGGCAAATTAGAATGAAATATGAATAATTTACCTGCTCGATCAGCACACTAAAATGAGCCTCAGTAGTGAAAACTAATAGTTAGTGCAGGATATTTTAAAATAGGATATTACACACTTGATAAGAAAAAAACTTGTACATACTTTCAATGCATCTAGACCAGCCTGAATAACTGGACCAAGCATCGTCTCGGTAACTCGTGTTTCTGCGAACATTTTTTCGATTTCAGTGAGCAAGCTTAAAAAATTCTTTTGGATGAACGAAAACAATGATTAAATCTACATTGCAATAAAAATAAATTCTCATTAACAAACAGAAGTGATATAGAGATTTTTATTTTTATTTTCAAATTACAACGAGAAAAAAAAACGAATTTGTTTTCAAATGAATGACTTACAAAAAAAGCACAACAAAACTTGTGTACGGGATTTAGCTACTCTTATTAATATGATATTTTACGACCCAAGTTAGGTATTAAGGCTTCAAAGCTGCAGCTCTCCAAAAGATTCAGTTTCGTACATTAATAAGAGTAGCAATCAAATTATAAGCAAGTATATAATATACCTATTAAGAACAACATCAGCTTCTTCCAGAGTGACCAAAAAACCATCTACCAATGGAACAAAGACATCATTCACATCTTCAACCACCAACATTTCGGGTTGACCCATATAATTTTTTAGATTATAGAAATGAACAGTCTGGTCGTACGTCGCGAAACCAATACGCAGTGAAGATTTATCTTGACCCGATTCCCTGCAATAGCATTTGTAGTTTTTTAAATGACTAAAAACACTTTTCCACAGAATAGGATGACCAAATCAATAATAATAAGTTCAGAAAAAACTCAAAGCTCCTAAATTTATGTATCAAGAAACTTAAGATGATATAAAGCGAACTTTGGTAAATGATTCAACAAATTTCTGATATTCCTACAAAATGTTGACACAAGACCACAGTGTACAGCAGAATAAGATACATCGAGCATAAAAATAAATGCAGGTTCCTTCGGTTTTAAACCATTCTAGAAAAAGATTGCAATTTACTAGAATAGAAAATAAACATTTTTTAAGTCCAGGTAAATAATATTTGATCATTTTCTTTCTACATTCTGAAAATTTGAATGAAAGCTTTTAAAGCAGACCTTACAATATGGTTTAGTAGCAACAAATTCATAAGATCCCAAGAACTGCTCAGGACGATGTTGAATATCAGTACGCCGCCCCGTATGATTTAAATGGGCGAAATAGACTTCTTCTACTAAAATGGAACAAATAATATTCACACATATTGGTAACTATAGAATATCAAGTAAAAAAATATACTTACCGGCAGTAGATGCTAAACAAAAGGGACATTTGAAGCGACGACCACCATCCTGAAATTCCATGAATGGAGACATGTAAGCTTTGCAACGATGACATCTCACCGGTCCCAGTTCTCCTAGATCTACTATTGGAGGATGAACCTGTAAATAAAAACTTTTCTTGAAATATTATGTACAATATGAGTATAATATAGTATAGTATAGTGTGCTACAAAATTCAGGGGTAAAAATAGGATACCTTATCTAATCATCGCATATTTTCAGGCAAAACCTACTTCATATGTTTTAAACGATCTAAACTTTGACTTGTCGATGAGCTAAGTCTTAAAAGTTATATTTCTACGTTACAAAAATATGCCAACCTCAATAGGATGCAAGCGTGCAAAAGGAGTGACAGCAACTGCAAATGATAATTGTGTAGTTTTTAACATGTCTGAGGATGCTGGAGCAATGTACAGAGTAGACCGCATAAATTTCGGATTACAAACACCTGAAAGGTTTACATTCTAAATTCCAGTACTCAAAATAAAATATTACAGCCAGTAAAAAGTAATAAATAACTTGATCATCTTGCCTTGGTCCTGAGCAATGAATTCCGTTGACGTAAGCGGTGGATGCTCAGCTGTAGGATAACCAGTTGGAAATATTCCACTTCTTGTAGAACGGTCTTCTTCAATCACTTGAGCCTAAGTCTCGATACTTTTGTTAATATTAACTGATGAACAACAATTAATATTTCAATAAACAAAACTTTCTCAGAATACCTGTAAATCAAAAGAACAAAATTTTTTTGTAAGCTTACTACACTGGGCATTAAACTGGGATCCAAACGAGGTTTCTGGTGATAGATTCCAGAAGCAGGAGGTCCCGCTATGTCTCCATGCATTTGCGGTCCAGCTATCCCAGCAGGGGTACCGTTATAATTCATTGCTGCACCATGCGCTGATGGAAAACCAACCGGTGCAGAAGACATCGAATTAAATGAACCAGGTACAGGCGGAGGAGCAGCTACTTGAGGACCATTACCGCTCACTGGTTTTGGAAAGCCACTCCCTGCTAAAGGACTTCTCAAGGGTGTTGATCCTGTCACATTACTTCCCTTCATTCCATCTACTGTACTTTGAATTGGAGGTGCAAAACAATGTTGATTTACTACTGAATCTGAAGAAGGCATAACTCCCATGGTTGAAATTGGTGGCACAATTCCAGCGCTAGTAGGCAACTGCGAAGTTGCAACAGAAGAATTCGACAATTGTGGAAAGTCTCCCACTTTGGATGCATTTTGCGTTACATATCTCACTGGTGTTGTCGCTGTGTTACCAGGAAAAGTTGTTGCAGAAGAGATAGTTCCAGGAAGAAGTTGGTCATGAGATATAGTTCCAGAAGCAGTAGGAAGTTTTGGAGGAAATACTATTTGCGAGTCTAAAAGAATATGAATAAAACTTTGAATAACTATATCTTTACAAACAATCCAACAAAAAGAGAAAAACTTGAACAATGAACAATATATTACAAAGAAACGAACTAGGGAACGGTTGTTGGTTACATACAACAGAATTACTTGATGGCATAACATTTGGAAGAAAATTGGGAGGATTGGAAAAATGCTGATTCAAACCATTCACAGCCATATTTGATACTTTACTATCAGTTCCTGAAAAAAGTTTAAATAGCAGAGAAATATTTCTGTAAGTTCAGTTTTGCTTAGCAGACAAACTTTGCATGAAGAGATTTTTTCAAATGGTACAGTGAGCTCACCTGAAGCAACAGGAAACCGCGGTGGAAACCCTTGCTGCCCAGCAAAATGTCCAGGAATGGGATCAGCCTGCGCTGCCAAGTTCTGCATACCGCATATTATTATATTTTTACACTTTTGGAAAGCTATATTTCACAAGGAAAAACAATGAAAAGATGCAAATTTTATCCAGTGTTGAAAAACATGGAATTACAAATCAAGTTGAAATAATAAAACAAAGGTATCAAATACCTGAGGCCCTTGCCCATTCTGGAAAACAGTATTTGAAGGTAGCAAATAATGTTCCATATCAGTGGACCCTGAAACTAAAAAATAAGCTTGCACCAAACTGAACACCACGTATACTTTCCAAATTCATGCCACACGAAGTCATATTCACAACAATTTAGAAGAATTACACTATGTTATTTAATTCATATTTTTCATGTAATAAACCGATCACAAAGAAATAAGCGGAAAAAAATCAGTCCGATATAAAGTTAAGCATCTTAAAAGAATAAAAAATTCTACTTTTTCTACTGTTACTATCAGACCCCGTTGCAAAGAATAGGTAGAGTCTTACTGCATTGCAGCTACCTGCTAGGAAAACTCAACATTTGCTCTCCTTCCCGACTCCCTCTATCAGAACACTCCCCACGATTATTCTGCTTTGATGTTTATGTTGGTGTCGTGGCACTACTCAAGTCCCGCAATGAAACTAGCCATATCACACAACACTTTAATGCAGTATAAACCATCCTCAACCCTTGAGCTGTGATTGTGCAATGACTATTTTGATGTAAATAAGCATTAACTTAGCCACAATTTACCAACCAGTGATGTAGACTTTAAGCAAAGGTAGCCACACTTGTTCCTCGCTAATATTTAAATGCCAGTGACTGCAAATGTGATGCACTAGAATGTGATTTGAAGAAATGAATGACAGAATCATCGACAAAGATAGTACGACCCACAATAAGCTCAATACCCCAACTATCACTACTCATACAGCTGTTAGCCACTTGAAAAAACATTCTGAAACTCCGACCACTGCTATGCACATCTGCGTAACGGAAAGCACAAATACATTAGCTACTACATAATCATTACTCCCTGCTCCACTATGATACCAAATGCAATCAAAAGCTGTGAAAAACACCCAATACTCTAATTATTTAACACAAGAATAATAAACACCAAATAAATACCTGAAAAAACAAGGATGAATGATTTAACCTCCGCATTTGGAGGGGTTCATTTCCCAAGATATAACCTCCATAGAGAGCAAAGAAGATATGCTCATATGAATACATAAACACGACAATGTTTGAAGGCACAATAATAGTGTAACAACAATTATCTCGTAAAACACAGTGGTACCGAAGTTTTGCTAATACACGAATATATATATGTGCATAAATCTAGAGCAATTTTTTTCAAGGCACACATCACAACCAAACAACGAAGTTACTAATAAAAATACTAGCATTATGGAATTTTGAGAGAAACTTACATTGATAAAACAAGAGATAAAACTTTGAATGCGCACAAAATGACTTTAACAATCAACGTAATGGCTGATATGACTACAGGCAACATAGAATGATAATGTAAAAATGTAAAATAACAGGCCAGATGATGAATGCAACCACAAATAACTTTTCTTATCGTTTATTTTTGTTACGACGTTTGTCCAACAAACGATTATTTGAATCTTTCAAATTTTTAATATGAATATCTTCATTTCCCACACGCATTGTCGCTAGAGTCATTTCCATTTCATCCTGAATTTGTTATGAAGCTTACTGTGATCAGTACGACTACGTAGTCTCGTTTTTAATGAAGCGACCGTTGTAATTCACTACAATCTAATTTCGAGAGTACTTTTGTTGAAAGGGAAATTAACGAACTTGCATTTCTACCCATAATGATTTTTCTTCTTCAAGCACTGAAGCGGTGAAAAGAGGAGTCTCAGGAACTTTTTTGTAGTGAGTTACCCACTTATGATTCATGGTTTGCTCAATTGTGAAACGTTCACTTGGATCAGTACGCAACAATTTTCTGATCAGATCCTTCGCTAAAACGACTCTCCACTATACATATAGTTCACAAGAAATTGATAAATTGCGAAAAAAAATTTTGGCTCAAAATTTACAGTTCGAAGACAGGGGGAAAAAAAATTTCAAGATTTAAAAAAGTACGATGAATGCAACCTGCTTCAGAAACACGATCCCATTCAGGTGACGGAAAAGCATATTTACCCGCTCTGATACGATTTTTCATTCCTGGCGACATAGGTAAGCCATTAGCTGAGAAAAATGGTGGGAAACCACATAAACTGCAAAAAATAAAATTATTAAAATACATAACATGCATGCATTTACTGTAATTTTAAATATCAGCGAAGACTTACAGAATATACATGATAACACCAATGGACCACATATCACATGACATATCGTACTTCTCCGGACCAAGAACCTAAATACTAACTATTGAAAAAATGACATTTCTAAACAAAAATAATATAACCTTTGTTTAAAATGTGTTGGCAAACTTTTCTACTGAAAAAAAAGTAACAAGAGTGAATCTCGTCACGATTTGTCCTTATGGATATTGCCATTTGAATATTGACAAAAACGACTAAGCTGCCTGAAATATATGTCTAACACCCAATAACTTGCTGTAAAAATAAGCCTTTTTCCTCATCGCCACTTTTTTACTTTCACTGTTTTTACAACATTTTAGTGCAAAGAATACTTCGGGTGCAGCATAATAAGGTGTGTAGCAAGGCGTTTCCAGTGGTCTAGAATCTGAAGAATCCAAGTGTTTCGCGAAACCAAAATCCGTTAATTTCAAAACACCAGATGGTCCATCGCAGCTTGAAACATGTAAAAAAATGCGTTATAGAAAAGACAGAAGTAGTAACAAGACAGATTAAATGATACCTGAACAGTAAGTTTTCTGGTTTTATGTCTCTATGTGCAATGTTTAAGGAGTGTAAATGAGCAACTGCTGAACAGATTTCTGTCATTATTTGAGCAGCTTCACGCTCCGTAAAAGCTGATTGTGCTCTTTGCTGTATGCGTGTGAAGAGTTCACCCCCTGAAATGCTTGCAATCAAGAAAGGCCATATATTTTTTTGGAATCATTTTCTTCTAATAATTTTTGTGGGAAAAAAATAGCATAACAGTGGCATGAATTCCTTGAACTATGTTTAGTACATATTATGGTGCATTTGATTAAAAAATATCAATTCCCTACAACTATAACAATAAGGCATAATAATTGAAGTGTAAACCTTGCATACATTCCATCACAACAAGCAAGCATTTCACGTGATGGTACGTATTTTCGTAAACATCGAAAATTCGGACGATATTTTTGTGATTGCTAGCAGCATAATGAAGTTCTACTTCTCTGCGAGCTTTTGGAACATCGCGAAGAACCTAAATATTCCACTGAATGCTCAAAAATTTAGCTGGAATAAGTTGGAAAAATAACAAACAAACTTTCAAAGCAAATTTCTCGCCAGTTTTTCGATTTTCACATCCTACTACTTTGCCATTGATTCCCACACCAAGCACCTAAAAACAAATTTAAAAATTGCAAACCATGGGACTGTTTCATATCCATGAAAATATAGAAAATTAATTCATTGTGTATTAAAAAGCAATTCTTAAAAACATGATACTGACACGAGAACATTAACAATGATCTTCGTATCTAAGAAATAAAAAAACTTGACGATGTTATTTTTTAATTTATAACGTAATTTGGAAGGCACAGAGTCACATCAATAATACTATGTCAACAAATATTTTTCATTAATAACGCTCACTGCTTTCAGCCAATATAACTGAAGTTGAAAAACAAACTTGTCGGCTGATTCGATAATCTTGAGTGACGGAATGGGTGTGCACAGGCATCACATTGTGCAAAGGAGATGGAATAGATGCTTTTGATGTCTGAAGTTGACAAGTATGCAGAAATGCAGAAATTCAGGACACTAAAGGGAAAAAAATTATCTTGCAAGTATCAATTAATAACACTTTGAAACTATCTTAACTACTTTGAGGCTGCCCATGAGAAGGGAAAAATATCATTACTATAAACAGTATCAATGTCAAGACGAATCGAATTCTAAAATTCGAAATGAAAGACATGAATCAAGATCAAGATTAAAAATTATAAAAATTAAACTGTTTGAATAACATGACACATTTACATTTTGCCAAGAGCTTATTTTGGAATACATAAATCCCTTCAAAAATAAAATACGGTATGGAGTAAGAACTTATCTAGCAGTAGGAACTAGGTATTCATAGGGAAAGAGGGAAAATTTTTTGGTGAGACTGCTTGTATTCTGTTCCAATTTACTTAATCACAAGCTGGTATAAAATTAACAGACTTCCACGAGCTATGCACCTTACAAAAATAATACAATGCATAACAAAAGAAAATAAGTTTACAGATAAAGCATTGTCGCATTCCTCAGTTTTAGATTTGTCCATTTCCTGCAAGTTCGTTTCTGTATTCCCCATCAAAATTGGAACAGAATACTCTGCTCCAATTACTTGCAGATTTATTCAATACTTTTTTGCCTTCAAATTTAAGCCTAAAATAAATTTTTATAATATAATTTTCGACAAACCATTACAACCGCTGCATCATAACTTTTAAAGAAACAATAATGATCATTATCATTATTATTTAAATAACTACTTTTTGATAAATTGTGTTAAATTTAAATAAAATCTGAAACCATATGATTTAATTTTACTTATTATCAAAAGTACAGGAAATGAAAAACATCTACTGCAAAGAAATGGCACTACGAATATATATGAATCAAAGCAGTATTTGATGCTCACAAAATTTAAAGCTAAATTAAATAAAGCCCAGAACCAGTTAAAAACTCAAAACCTATCGTAAATTATAGCTCATAAAACAAATAGGATAATAAAATAGATAGGTTATTTAAAAATCAGAAAGTCAAATGATCCTCACATGTAACACTAATAACCATAATATGGTAGTGGTGAGAGAGAACGATCACAACTAAAAACAGAAACAACAGATATTAATGCTATTCCCAGTACTACTGCTACTGCGCTACTACCACAGCTACTGCTACTGCTATTGCTACTACTGTTACTACTACCAATACTACCATTGTTACCATTGTTACTACTTCTGGTAACAACTTGAACTACCAATGATATCATACAGCAGCACAAAACAACAGACACTAGCCACAAACTCTACTGTCGTTACTGCAAGAGATATTGCAGCTAAATAACAACTAAACAATTTCCGTATTCTAGCTAGTCAACTGTTTCTCGACAACCTGATTAAATGAACTAACTGACCGATTATACGATTCTATGACAACTTGATTATAACTCAGTTCGATTCAATCATGTATGGGGATGTCTGTTTATATACATGTGTATGTATGTGTATGTGTGTGTGTGTGTGTGTGTGTCTGTGTGTATGTGTGTGTTTCACTCGAACTGCTTTACTTGAAAAATGATGTCACTGCCGACTGGTCTCTGATCGAGTCAAGCTAATTTTTTTTCTATCAAGAAAAAATAAGTGAGTTTAGTCCTATGAGTAAATAAATAAAATTTTTGTTTGATACTAAAATAGACGGCAAAATTGCTTAACAATAGACAGTAGCACTTGCTGCTTACATGAGCTGCTGGCTATTTATGCAACTAAGTGTTGCTTAGGAAATCAAAATGACGGCAACATTTTGCCATTCTCCTCCCCACGGCGCATCACAGGTACTGATGACGAGTCGCGCTTTGCTAACTTTTGCCTGGCTATTCATTCATTCATTCATTCATTCATTCATTCATTCATTCATTCATTCATCCATTTATTTATTTATTAATGGCAAAATGATTTATAATAAACAATTCTTAACACGGAAAATTTTTGAACTGTAGTGTAAATACTGTATTATTATATCTTGTGTTATTCTGTCCATTTAAGGTGAAAGAATCTATAAGTCTGCATCTTGTTAAAGCAATGAGCGAGACATGGAGTTATTTCATTGAAGCGTTTATTGTGCTTGCGTATTGAATGTTGTGGATTGCAAATGAGTTACACAAA